GGCTGTCGGCGTCGTCGTTCTTGCCTTCGTCGCTGTCGCGCACAATCGTCGTCGTCGTGGCCTTGAGCAATCCAGGTCGCGCGCCGGCAAGCGACGCGTTCGCCTGGGCCAAGGCGCGAGTCCAGTGACGGCAGCTGATGCCCTGGGTTGTGGGAGACGGGTCTGGCAGGCCAGCTTGTCGGACGAAATGGCAGCGGCAACCGGGTCATGTGATGCTGCACAAACACGCCCCCACGTCAATCGCGCCGCCCCGCGTTGGGCAGAGCCCGGCCATACACACGAGCTCGGGCCCGCCGACCAACTTGAACCTCCTCGATCGACATCATGGCGTACGTGCTGCCTACTTCCACGACGGGCCCCGCAACTTGCTGCAATCCACCGCCGACAACCGCGCGACGCCCCGCCCGCGGCGCACTGCCCGCACGAGAGCCCGTCGTCGCGTCGACACCGCACCGACTTGACACCTGCGAAACTGACCGAATGCGCGCTGCGACCTCGCCCTCTTGGCCTCCAGTGACCAATACAACGACATTGAGGAGACGCAGATTGAGGTACGCGCTTCCTCGTCCTCGCACGCTCGTTGTGCCGACACGGGCGCGCGCGCGGATTTGGTGGCGTTCATGGTGTTTCGTCACCTTTCCACTCAACTCACCCAATCAACTCTATCCCGTGTTTCCTTCTTCTAGTCCAACTGGGACGAGGTTGTCGACTCGTTCGATGACATGAACCTGAAGCAGGAGCTGCTCCGCGGTATCTACGCTTACGGGTGCGTATCGCTGTCTCTTCCTTTCGCGCGCGTGGCACTGGAAAAGCGAGCATGACGCTGACTGGTCCCACCGCTTTATGCAACTAGTTTCGAGCGTCCGTCGGCCATTCAGCAGCGTGCGATTATGCCCGTCATCAAGGGCCACGACGTCATTGCCCAGGCGCAGTCCGGTACCGGCAAGACGGCCACGTTTGCCATTTCGATCCTGCAGAAGATCGACTCGGAGGTCAAGCAGCCGCAGGCCCTCGTTCTCGCGCCGACGCGTGAGCTGGCGCAGCAGATCCAGAAGGTCATGCTGGCCCTCGGTGACGTGCTGGGCGTCAAGTGCCACGCCTGCATTGGTGGCACGCGCATTGCCGACGACGCGCGCCAGCTCGCGACGGCGCAGATTGTCGTGGGCACGCCCGGCCGTGTCTTCGACATGATCTACAACCGCCGCGCGCTCGACCCGCGCGCCATCAAGATGTTTGTGCTCGACGAGGCCGACGAAATGCTGTCGCGCGGGTTCACCGAGCAGATCTACGACGTCTTCCAGCTGCTGCCGTCGGAGATTCAGGTCGTCCTGATTTCGGCCACGATGCCGCCCGAGGTGCTCGAGGTCACCGACAAGTTCATGCGCGAGCCCGTGCGCATTCTCGTCAAGAAGGACGAGCTCACGCTCGAGGGTATTCGCCAGTTCTACATTCACATTGAGAAGGAGGAGTGGAAGTTTGAGACGCTCTGCGATCTCTACGACACGGTCGCCATCACGCAGGCCGTCATCTTCTGCAACTCGCGCCGCAAGGTCGACTGGCTCACCGAGGCCATGCGCGCTCAGGACCACGTTGTCGCCGCCATCGTACGTTTTTTATTCCTTTCCACCCACCTCCTCTCGACGACCGGTTTCTCACCGCCTCCTTCTCTTCTTTTTCCAACGACAACAGCATGGTGACATGGAGCAGGCCGAGCGCTCCAAGATTATGGACGAGTTCCGCTACGGTGCGGCGCGTGTCCTGATCACGACCGATCTGCTTGCTCGCGGTATCGACGTGCAGCAGGTGTCGCTCGTCATCAACTACGACCTGCCGACGTCGCTCGAGAACTACTTGCACCGCATCGGTCGTGGTGGTCGTTTCGGTCGCAAGGGTGTCGCCATCAACTTTGTCACCAACGAGGACACGGCCGTCCTGCGCCAGATTGAGCGCCACTACAACACGCAGGTCGAGGAGATGCCGCGCGACATTGCCGACCTGCTCTAAGTGCAGCTCGTCGCATCGCGCATTGTCCGCATTTGCTCGTGTCGGCCGCGCGCGCGGGGCCGGGGGTCTCGCCCGCCGGGTGGGGGCTCGGGTTGTGCGCGCCTGCCGCGGCCCGCGGGCGGTGGCGCATCGTCGGCGGTCTTTTGCTCGATAGGTGTGGGCGGACCGTGACGGCCTGGTCGGACCCTCGTCGGGGGCTGGCTGGGACATTGTGGAATACGATTTCTGTTTTGATTCAACTTTTGATGGTTGTCCTCCATGTCAGCGTCCGAGCTGCTTCACACACATGAACGCGCGCGCCGTTGTGGGATCTGCCCATCTCCTTCTCGCTGCAGGCCAGTGTCAAGATAAATCAATCGTCGGCCATGTCGTCGTCGGCCGACTTGCCGCATTCCGGTCGCGGTCAACCCGCGGCAATGAATCCATTTTCCTGCACCGACACCAGCAACGATCCAGCACCAGCTCACGTTGACCGGCATCGGCATCGACCATTGGCGCACCCGCTTGCCGTGGAGCCAGCACGCCAACAAGAGCAGGAGCAGCAGAACGCGGTCGACCCTGGCACCAACTGCGCCGGCACGCCGCAACTGGAGGTGGCCGGGCTCTCGCCGCTCGACAAAGTCACGGCCGCGCTCAACGCCAACGCCAAGTACCAGGACGTGCTCACGTCGCTCCTGCAGGCGCTCAAAGTGCGCGACGAGCAGATTCGCACGCTGAAAGTACGTTTTCCCGCAACCTGACGCCATGGATTGCGCGTGTACTCACTTCCCTTCTCTCTCGGTAGCGCCGCGTCGCCGACCAGCGCGTCCAAGTGCCCGACCGGGAATTCGTCGACCAGTGGTGGGCGCGCGTCGACGGCGACCTGCCCGCAACTGCCGCACCCACCACTGCCACAGGAGCCGCTGCGACGCCAGCGTTCCAGCCGTGGCCCGCACGGGTCGGGATCCAGTACTCGTTCTTTGCCGACCAAGCGGGCGTCGCGGCGCCGCCGCACCCGGACGAGGTGGAGCGCGGCGCGCGAACGCCGCTGTTTGCTGATCCGGCCAAATGTGAGCCTTTGTTTCTATGATTGGTGGGCTCGGGCGTGCTGGACGCTGACGGCGAAAATGGACGACTCCAGGGAAAGACGACGAGCGCGACACGTTGCGGCAAGCCGTGACCAACTACTGCAGCTACTACCTCCTGCGCGAGTACGTCTACGTCTACCCGGCCCCACCATCACCGCTCGCCATGACGACCCTAACCGCCTACCCACCGGCTCTCCTATATAGGGGCCTGATCGACCTCGTCGAAGCCGCCGACCCGGACCCGGCCGGCTTCGCCGCGCAAGTCCCTGAAGACGCGATCGACTGGCACCACATATCGGCCGCGTATTTCAAGGGGACCAAGTCGGCGGGCGACTGTCGCGTGCAGTGGAGTTCCTGGGACGACGCGCGGCTGAACCGCACGCCCGTGTCCGAGGACGAGGTGCTTGATCTGGTCGACAAGGCCGAGAGCGGGCAGTTTGATAATTGGTTCCGGGTCGCCGAGGCGCTTACGGTACGGTTGATCGGGTTGGGTGGGAGGATGGGTGCTGACCAGTAGTTTGAACGTGATATAGTCGGCGCGGTCGGCGGCGTGGGCGTTCCGGTACTACCACGAGTTTCTGCGCGCGCAAGGCTCGTATAACGAGCGCATCGGGTACGCGTCCAAGTCGTTCACGTTCCCTATTCACGACGCTCACGTCCGTGCCCCGACCCCTCAGCCGCAAATTCACGCCCGCCGAAGACGACCTACTTCACCAAGCCGTGCACATCCACGGCCCGGACCAATGGACGTCCGTCGCCGACCTTTTGGGCACGCGCGACGCCAAGCAGTGCCTGCAGCGGTGGAAGGCACAGGACCCGGCAATTCGTCGCGGCCGGTTCACGCGCGACGAGGACGCGGCACTGCGCGCGGCCGTCACGCAATGCGGTGAGAAATGGTCGGATGTCGCGCGGCTCGTGTTGGGGCGCACCGACATGCAGTGCCGCGAACGGTACTATAATAACGTCAAGGCGAAAATGGAGGAAGGGCCGGTGCCGACGGGTGAGTGGACGGCGGAAGAGGATTCAAAGCTGTTGGAGTTGGTCGCGAAGGTGGGGACCAAGTGGAGCACGGTGGCAGAGCAGATGCCGGGGAGGACGGATGGGATGGTGCGGTTGCGGTACGCCAAGCTAAGGACGGAGATTGAGATGGGGTACCGCGAGCCGCCGGTGGGGGTCGAAGAGTTGCCGGTGGACGTGCGGTCGCAGCGGGTGCTGGAGGCGGATCCGTTGGATGAGGTGCGTGGAAGGCGTTCTTGGGCTCTCGTTCTTCGAGTTACAGAGTGGACTGACCGTGCTACGTTGTTGTCATGTAGATTCCGGCGTCAGGTCCGCTCGCGCCCAACCACGCGTCTATGGCCGCCTTGATCAAGCTGCTACGGGTGCTTGAGTACCCGACCTGCGCTGGGCAAAACGATCCACCACCACCTGCCCCCGGGCCACCAACCATGCCGGCCATGACCGCTGATCTTTCTCCACTGACTGACGCGTCTGCACCCAACGCGCACCAAGCCCTCTCGATCGCAATGTCTTCGAAGACACCTCGACCGCCACCACCGCCTCAGCTGGTCCAGGCCATGCAGCGCCAATTTCTGTTGCCGATGATGGCGGGTACCGTCGCCGCACGTCCTCTCGGGTGGAAGGATCCCGAGGCCGAGGAGCGGAAACGCGCGGCACTAGAAGAGTGCCGGTTTGCGCTGCAGCATGGCGTGTTTCCTGCAGGTGAGCAAATGAATTGAGCGGGCTCAACGGTTGTGGTTCCGGCCGGGGTGGGCTCAATAACCATTCCTAAATGAGGACATCATGCCGGTGATACCAATTTATAAAACCAGTGTAAGAGGGGGAGAGGCTGATCGAAGGACCTCAGGGAAGAACAAAAATGGAAAATGGTTGTGATACTTAGGCAAAGGAGGTCGGAAGCAGAAAAAATGATGGAGGTTGCGGGGTTTGAACCCGCGGCTTTCCGCATGCAAAGCGGACGCTCTACCACTGAGCTAAACCCCCGGCTGCAGTGAATTGCGCCTTCTTAGCCTGGTTATTTTCTTGTTTCTTGTCACGTGCGCGTGACAGAATTGATGCGCCAGATTGGAGACGTTTGCGCACGTCTCCCAGCAGAAATGATGTTTTTTTCGCTGATCAAACTCGCCGCGCTACATTCGAGATCACAACAAAGCAAAGCACCTCTCGTGTGTCCAACTTGGCGCAAGCGGTGGTTTGATTCAAGCCGTTTCGATGAGCCGCGCGCAAGCACCCGCGTCACCCAGCAGCGTCAACGACGATGCGGCCCGAGGCCGTCTCCCGCCGTGCGGCCGTTTGATGGCCATGACGGCTCATCAAACGACGCGTCGAGAGACAATGTTGACCAGGATTGATTCAAGGAGCGCCAGGTCCTGCCCGGCCAACGCGAAGAGTGATTTGAGCGCGCGTCATGTCAAGCAATCTGCGGGCCTATTTGGGCCGCGTTCGTCCGCGCTTCCTCTCTCTCTTCTCTCTCTCTCTCCGTGCTCTCCAGCTCAACCATCCCTTACCCTGTCCTTCGGCGCGTCCACCCGTGCCCGTGCGTCGTCCATCTCCTCCATCCCCGCCACCCCCCAGCGCCGCCACTGCCCTCGATCAGGCGCTCGCCTTCCGGATTGTCCTCCTGCGCCACCGTGATTGACCGCCTGTTCGACCCCCTTCTCTCGGCCGGTCCCCCCCATCCGTCCCGCTCCTCCCCACCCCGCGGCTCGTCACGACACTCTCCTCCCGCTCCCCGCCGACGCGCCCCCGCCGTCGACGATCCAGACCCTCCGCCCTAGACGCGCCTGAACCAGCCGGACACCGGCAACTCAGTCACTTTCCCCTCACTTTCGCGCGCTCGAGCTTGCTCGCGCGTCCGCGAAGCCCCCCCGTCCCCACCCCCACACACTTTCTCGCGCGTGTCGACGCGCCCACCCCCACTACCACCACCACCACCACCACCACCACCACTACGCAACCATGTCGGCGACCATGGACGGCACGATAATGTCGCTCGGCGGGTCGCAGGTCGACGCGCTCAAGACCGACGCGGAGCTGCAGGCCTTCTTGCAGCTGACGTCGATTGAGGACAAGGCTATGTCGCTCGCGCTCGAGCGCGAGCGCACGCAGACGGAAGTGCGCATGTCGGCGATTGAGGTACGCGTTTGCGGTGTTTGTTCGTGGGTGTGTGGAGGAAGGGATCCGCGATTGATTAATCACAACACGTGCGCACTTCCACTTGGGACTTTCAACGTTGGTTGGGACACGTATAGCGCGTCAACAACTTTTTCGTTGGTACGGATTTGCGGCGGTATTCGACGACGGCGGCGGCGTCGGCTGCGAGGCCGACGCCTCGCTGGCCGTGCGTCGCGCGTCGCGTCGCGTGCACGCAGCAGACCAAAGACTGACGCGCGGCACCGCGACACCGTAGATGAGGCCCACACGCGCGAGGCCAACATTGCCGAGGCCCAGTTCCTTGTCGACGAGCAGGGCAAGGAAAAGAGCCTGTTGATTTCGCGGCAGAAGATCGAGGCCTTGGACCTCAAGGAAGAGGAGGAGGGTGCGTCACCCACGTGCTCGAAAGGCCACGGCGACCGGATAGATCCCTGACCACCGCTCTGTTCCTGCCTCGTAGACAAGTCGATGCTTGACAAGCTCATTCTCGAGTTCCGCGCGCTCAAGCTCAAGGTGCGCTTGCGCGAGGAAGCCGCCGAGAAGGTGAAGAGCGCCAAGCGCCGCGCGCAGGAGAAGCGGAACGAGTTTGCGTTACGCGTCAAGTACGTTGTCCAGCACCTCCTATGCGTCACCCCGCGTCGTGATCACGAACTAACGGGACGCGACCGCGACCGACACTAGGTACCTCGAGGCGCGCCAAGAGCGCGAGCGTCGCGCTCTCGCCGACTCGCACGTGCGCATGGTCAAGAACATGACCATTTTCCGCAACCGTACGTAGTCTTCTTTCTCTCGACCCGGGTGCTCATCCGTCACCGAGCTGACCTCGCGTCGTCTCCCCCCCCCCCCCCCCTTCATCACTTTCATCACAGTGCTCATTGATAACGACATGTCGCTCAAGCGGCTCGTGTCCGCGGACGCGGCCGTCAACGGGTCGGGACCGACGAGCGCGCTGTCGTCGGCGCCCGAATCGACGACGCTCAAGATTGACGCCGACCGGCTGCACGAGGCCAAGATGCTGCAGGTCAAGGTGCGGCAGCAAAAGGAGGTGGAGCAACTGCGCGAAGAGCACCTGTTGCGCGTCAAGCACATCAACAAGTTGTCGGAGATCGAGATTGACCAGACCGAAGAGTGGGAGACGCTGCTCGCCGAGCAAAAGGTCCAGGACATGGAAATGGAGGCCGACCACGTCAAGGAAATCGAGACGGAGCAGTTCCGTATCCAGCAGCAACTCAACTCGCTCAAGGCCTACAACGCGACGCGCATCCAGCAGCACAAGGCGTCGGAGCTCGCGCACCAGCAGAAGGGCGAGGCCAAGCAGCTCATCAAGCAGCACCGGCTCTCGTCCAAGTACCGGAAAAAGTCGTTCTTTGAGCGCGAGGAGGCGATCAAGGCCATGGAGCTCGGTGACGAAAAGGCCGCGGCCGAGGGCGACAATGAGGGCGGCGACGGCGACGCGCATTCCGAGGGGTCCGGCGGGTCGTCCGACTCGCGGTCCGACGGCGGGTTCTCCAAGCAGACGTCCGAGGCCTACACGGTCGACTCGTCGACCACGTCGTCTGGGTCCGAGGCACTGTCGAACGCAACGACCGACTTGATGCTCGAGGCGCAGCGCGCCGAGGAGGAGGAGTCGCAGAAAGGCCGCCACCAAATCGAGCAGCTCATGATGCGGCAGCGCGAGCTGCGTGACTCGCTGGCGCAGCAGCAGCGCGAGCAGCGCGACGCGCTCAAGATGGACCACCGCCAGGCCATGTCCGACTTCCACGCCGAGCAGGAGGCCGAGTACCAGGCCGTCAAGCGCCAGCAGGCCATCGAGATGGAGCAGCTGATGCAGCTGCAAAAGTCGGCCGACGACATGGAGGAGGACAACAAGGTGTCGAACAACTTGCTCGGGTCGATGCTGCCGCGGTTCGGTGCGTGCTTCCCTTGCTTTCGCGTGCCATGTTCGACTCGACCACGCCGGCTCACCTAGCTACTACCCCCTTGACTAGTTTCGGAGGCGCTCAAGCTCGGCAAGGAGGTCAAGCCCGTCGACTTGAACAACATCACGGTGCTCTGCACGGATATTGTCCAGTTCACGGCGATGACGTCCAAGTCGTCGTCGTACCAAATCGTCAACCTTCTCAACCGCATGTACACAGCGTTCGACACCATCTTGGACGACTACAAGGACGTGACCAAGATGGAGACAGTTGGTGCGTATCGTGCTTCCGCGGTTTCCGTTCTACACACTGGCTGAATTCTCACCTCCGTGCTGTCCACCTTGCAGGCGACGCGTACATTCTGTGCGGCGGGCTCAACACGGCGGCCATCGACGCGGCGCAAAAGGCCGAGGGTGCCGAGGACGTGGTCAAGGACACCGAGCACCTGTCGACGCGGCTGCACGCGATTGAAATGGCCGAGTGCGCGTTCCGGTTTGTCAAGGCCGTCGAGGACCTCGACATGTCGGACCAAGTTGAGTCGTCGATCAAGATCCGTGTCGGCATTCACTCGGGCACGGCCGTCGGTGGGGTCGCGGGGCTCGTCATGCCGCGGTTTGCCCTGTTTGGGTCGGCGCCCGCGATTTCGGCGCAAATGGAGCAGAAGTCGCAGCCGAACCGCATTCACGTGTCGGCGGCCACGGCCGAACTGCTCAAGAAGGACTATGTGCTCGAGCCGCGCGCCGAACAGATCATGCTCGAGGGCGGGATCCCGATGCAGACGTACTGGCTCGTGGGCAAGAAGACGGCCACGGGGCCGAACAAGAGTGGGGCCGTGAGCGGTGGACGTCGCGCGCGCGGTGCATCGGCGGGCACGTCGCCGACGCGTAAAGCTGCGGGCAAGACAGTGCGTATGGCCGCCGATTGAGCGTCAGGGCGAGGAGCAGGAGGAAGAAGAGGCGATCAGGCGGAACTGAACGAAGGGCACGGAATGTGTTGACAAGGGAGACGTTGTAGCCGTGCTGGCAGGGTGTGGACTGATGCCGGGCTGGCCTGGAATGTGACTACTTTGCATATTGGTATCCGTGAATCTGGATTGATGGTGCTAGCGCGGATTTGTGAACCGTCGCCAACGAATCTCGCAGCCCCAACGACGGCTCTCCATCATGAACCACCTCCAACCCGATGCTGCTGCGGCTGCTGCAAGCATCGAGCCGGAGGTCAAGCTATATCGGCTGTACATTCGCTTCGACGAAAACGAGCACACGGCTCTCAATTCCCGTGTTGGCCCGAAGCTCTTCCGCATTGACAGCAACAAGTCTAACCACGAGCTCCTGGACAAGATTACCAATAGTGTTCGTCGTACAATTCAACTGTCTGGCGACGACGATGCTGCCACGACCATTATCGGCGTCGAGTATCGTGACCAAACGCTGCTCGCTGAGTCTCGGGTTGGTGGTGATACATTTCGAGACGGGGAGGTCATTCCGTACGTCTTGCTTTTGATAGCGTTGATGATGAGAATCATGGCCACTGATTTCAATCCTTCGCAGTGTTCGCTTGATTCGGAGAAATACCGATTTGCGGTCAGCTGCTGTGTTCAAGCCCTCTGGGATCAGGTATCTCGCCAATTTTTCGATGTACCAGACGCGGTTTGAGGCCCTACTGATCAATCGCGCATTCTACGAGCACTTTGCCAGGACACTCAATAACCTTGCTCACAAGTTTGATGCCTGCAAGTTCTATTACCCCGGCACCATAATCGTGCAGAGATCGGGGATGGGCAAGTTGCGGCTCGCCACGACCATGGCCGAGTATGGCAGTTTGTGCTTTACCTCAACTTGGGCGACCCGGATGCCGGCGCGTATCCACGACCCAGTCTGCCACCGGTCCGCCGCTTGCTCCTCGAAAATA